TCGGTTCGATACTTTAGTCTCACGGTTTGATATTTTTTTGATACAAAAAAGAGAAATTTCCATGCCCCTTTTAACTTGTAATTTATTGAAATTAATTATGAACATTTGTTTAACCTCAAAAGTCCAGTTTTTAAATTAAATGTTGCTGAAGCAGCAAGTTTCTCAGTGGATCTGCGCTCGAAAATGCAGCCTAGGTGGAGTAGTCGAACACAGATCCACTGATCCTTTAACACAGAGCATCTTCAGAAGACAAGTTGATAAAATAAATTTTAAAAATCTGTATTGTTCGATACAAGTGTGTATTGAACCTAAAGCACTGTTCGATCCGGTTCGATACGGGTACATGTACTGTTGCACCCCTACAATTTAGACATAAAAAATGTTTCATAAGTTGGCATAAGTTGTATAGTGTGACCGAGCCTTAAAAAAGATCTTTCAGTTGTAGTTTTTATTAAATTTGGTATAAACGATAATGGTTTAAACCCCTGCCCGAAACAAACATGATAAGTGTGTTTAAGGGAAATTTAAAACCAAACATTTGTATTTAGTTTGATAGAAAAATGATGCATCTCTAAAAACAGCCTCACCTTTCAAAACTGTTTTTTTTTTTTTATTCTTCTTACAAACAAAAAGACACACACTCTTTCTCTCTGGCCAAGCTATGCTCCTCCCAGCTCATGCATGTAAAGCTAGCATAGCTGCACGTTTTAAATGTCTGGATGGGGCCTTCCATTTTAATTAACATTGATCCCAGTTTCTGACTCCAGTTTCTTTCCCTGTACGCCAATTAGACGGAACTATGAAAAGCCTGTCTCTCCCCCCCCCCCACCCCCCACTGTCCCTAGAGCCTCTGCATCCTGGGACTAAAGGGGCTTCTCACCACTTCGCACTTACTCATTTAAAAACACACATTAAATTAATGACACATCAAAATAAACACCTACATGTTAACATGAAATTCATGAATACATGCAAAGTAGATACAGTACATATATATACTATGTTTCCTTCACAAATCCATACACATTCAAATGTACAAGTGTAAAAAGTGTGTTTTTATGTGCCGACTGGTCCTTCATAAGTCTTTATGATGATATATTAATCAAAGTAATAAGTCACAATGTAGGGACAGTCATTAGACATAAACCTACACCCAGTGGAGTCATCACTGCCTTAGTTCAACACACTAAAAAGAGAAAAAGAGAGCAAGAAAGAAACGAATGAGTGAGTTGAAAGGATCAAATTGTTAGTGGAAGGAACGTTTGAAGATTCGTTTTTTTTTTCAAGAGTATTTTCTCATGCCAGTCTCGCTGAAGCTGTAGCGAGTGGAGATGTATGAATTTAGAAAATTAAAGAAAAAAAAACTTTACATCTTTCGAAATGAACTTTTTGTAGAAAGAAAACTTTAACACAACCAGATAATCTCCGTCTACGGCTTAGACAAAATAACTCATGTTAAGAATTGACAAGGCTTGAAATCATCGATACAAAAGAGGTAAATAGTTTGATAACTAGTTATTCATTCTGCAAGTTGGGAACAAAAAAATCTCTTTAAGAACTATACAAAGAAATAGCCACGGGGGCAGCTCATCACATGCAAACACCAGATGCTGAGAACCCAGCTTTTTGGGGTCTCATAAAACCAAGAGCAAAAACAAGAAGGGATGAATGGAATTAGGCGGGAGGCATAAACACAGTCAGAGGTATGGATGGCTGGGCTCCATACAGGAAGGAGACACGTTCCCGTAAAGCTATACACAATATAATCCTCCTCTAAGCTTATACCAAACACTGCAACCACAATATGTCTGCACAAGCAAACAAGATGTGTGCATTACACACACACACACATTGCTGTGTGTAAAATTCAAATACAGGGTGGTTTTGATTGTAAGCAGAGGGAGAGAGAACTATGAGACTGCAGTCTCACTCACTGGCATGTGACCAAACCTGTGATTTTCTTTACTGGTCTCGATGGGAGACAACCCGGCCAGCATCTCTGTTTACCACGCCATAGTAGGTTTGGGTGAAGGGCAGAGCACAGGGTCAGGGAATGTAATGAGGTTGGACATGAAGAAAAAGGGATCAAACAGAATGGGAGATGAAGATGGGCGCAGATACAATGACCAGGTATTGACTGGCAGACCCCTCGGACCTTAACTCAACCCCCGGGCATAAGAATGAAAAATGCAGGCTCTCTCAAATGGAGCCGCTTCATACATAAGGAACGAAACTCCCAGAGATACAAACGTACACGCTCATAGATGAGAAAACACACCACCAAAAAAAAAGAAAAAAAATCCAGCACAATCCTCATCCCCTACTGTATTTTCAGAGTGAAATCAATGCGAAACAAAGGGATCAGACGTGGATTTCTATGTGAATTCCATTTGCCTGAAGGTTAAGTAAGGAAAAGGAAGGCATATAGAAAGGGAACACTGCAGAAGTTAGCAGGGTAGAACAGAGAGGCGTGGAGAAGAAAGTTCTGAGACAGAAAAAGGTTTTCTGACACTGAATGTACAATGGAGCCCTCTTACCAAGAAAAGAGGAAAACATGAGCGTGTTCTTCAAAGAGAATATGCATGGGGTGTGGCGAGTTCGCTCTGGTAACAATATGGTTGTAAAACCTTTATCTCCACAGGCTTCTTGCATGACTCACCTTGACCTGATGGCTGGAGTTCTGTCTTTGCTCTTTTACCTGTTACAATCCCTCTCCGTAAAAGAACAACCCCCATTTTTCTCTTTGCTACAGCAAACTATAACCCCACTCTTCCTTTTTGTTATTCTCCCTTACAGCTTTACCACCTCTTCCCCCTCTCTAGCCTTTTTCTCTTTCCACTTGTCTCTCATGTGACTTGTTCTCCTTATGCCGTAACCCTTTTGTAGTTTCTTATATAGATTCCTAAACTTGTTCACCCTGGATCTTTGTTTGCCTTTTGACCTCCTCTGGGAGCAACAAGTCTTGTGTATTTTTATGTTTCTTTACTCTCCCAATCTAAAAGTTTAAGGTTCGAGATGAATAAACATGATCATTAAACACAATGAAATAGTGTAACACAACCATAAATAAAAAGTGAAAAAAGTACAACTTTGGTCAAAACGTCAGATCATACCGCAGAGTATTAGGGACAGACTAAAAAAAAACTGTATTTTTTTTTATTGCAAAAATAAAGTCCTAATATTACATGACATAACCATTTTCTGTTCCTGGGTCGGCTCACACCTGCTGTGAACAGCCTCCGATGCATGTCACTGTGTTTATGAAGTAGTCTGAATACTTTTGGGTCACTGTTAGTGTAAAATGTTTCCATCCACATTATGTGATGATGAAATCTGTCAATGCAGCCATTAACTGCAATGTCTTATGGTTTAAGTTTATTATATGAATCCATAGAGTTAAATACCACTGAAACTAAAGTAGCCTATAACTTCACAAGGAGCTCAACATTCCTTATTTTAGGTAAGACTGCATTTTCGTGAAGGAGTCCTTATAATATTACAACTTTATTCTGGCAGTATTATGACTTTACTCCCGTATTATTTTAGCTTTATTCTGGTATGACTTTATTCTGGTAAGACTTTTTTCTTGTATTATTTTGGTTTTATTCAGGTATGACTTTATTCTGGTAATATTATGACTTTAGTCTCATATTATTTCAACTTTATTCTAGTAACAATGACTTTATTCCTGTATTATTTAAAAATTATTCTGGTACAAATTTATTCTGGTAAAACTTTTTTTTCTTATTATTTTGGTTTTAATCCGGTATGATTTATTCTAGTAATATTATGACTTTACCCTGGAAATATTATGACTTAAATCTAGTACAACTTTATTCTGGTAATATTTTGACTTTATTCCCATAGTATTTTGACTTTATTCTGGTACGTTATTCTAGTAATATTGACATTATTTTCATGATTTAAAAAAAATCTCATAATCTAGCCCTAATACTCTGTCGTTACATAAAAATAATGAAACCAGACTCATTGAAAACTGAACGCAACTGTTAAAAGTATTTGAAAAGGCTCATCCTTAAATAAGGACCAATTATTAAAAGGATACTTGAAAAACTATACAACTAAAATCAGTTTAAAGTAACAAGTTTCATTCAGTGCACACACACAAAAAAAAACATCCAACATATTCAGAAATGCATTGTGGTTAAGTAACTTGCATGAAAGACTGGTCTGGGTGAGAGCCCATGAACTGCAGGGTGAGCTCAAACTGCTTCAACCTCAACGCCCGAAGCACTTGTAGAAAAGGTGTAGTCAGTTGTGCATTGAAATGCAGCCTCAGTGATCAACAACAACAAAAAATAAATAAATAAATAAATAATCAAAGGAAAATGTGGGGATTTCTTTAGCTGACAATGTTTCATGGAGGGAATGTAAAGGTTGACAAGGAGCAGTAAAAAAGACTGACTGTTGTCATCAGTCTCTATCAATGTTCTGCTTCTTTCCTCTTTGTTCCCTCTGCTGTGTGGTCTCCACTCACAGGGGTTTACAAAGGGCCTTGTAGTGTTTCGCTCTTGACTAATCAAACTAGTCAGTGTCACAGGGCAGCCTTATCTAAAACACATGGCCACGTCAGTTCTCTTCATTCCCCTGCTCTTCAACACTTAGCAGGTTCCCAGTTTAAACAACATCCAAGTCCAAGAGTCTTTAAGGCCTCAGCTCAGACAGAACAACATTTACAAAAACACCGGGACATTCATTAGAAATAAAAGTGTGCTTTTAAATATTTTCCATCTTTACTGGCTAACAACAATATATATATATA